TTTTAATTTTTCATAAAAATTTAATTGATTGCTTAACTCGTTGTTATACGTAAAATAAATACCGAGAGCTAGAATGGGTTCCGAGGTCCAATTCAACCCGAAGGGCTGAGACGTTTTGCCCTTATCCAAGCCGATCCACATCGCTTCGGTTTTATTGATATTTATTTCCAATCCTGCGTGACTTTGATAACAAGTTCAGGACAGCACTAGAGATGGTCTACGCAGAATACCTGGAGATGGAATGGGATGAACTCCTCAATATGTGTGACGATGATCTGTTTCCAAAAGAAAGGTATCATGGAGTCCCTACGTCAAGGTTGATACTTACAAGATGGTTCGAGGAAGAAGGGATAGACTTGTGGCAGTTCGTTGAGGACATCATGGATGTAGTCAACAAAAAGAAAAAGAAGATGAATACCATAGTGCTACAAGGTGAGAACAATAGTGGCAAGACGTTGGTTGCTCAGTCCATAGCAGAGTCGCTCTTGGCTCACGGCATCATAACCAACAATGCATCATGTCAGTTCAATTGGCAAGAAGTGATAAGCAAGAGAGCCATCCTAGCCGAAGAGCTGCTGATCGGACCCACTCAGACAGAGGAATTCAAGAGTGTCATGGGAGGTGAAAACGTCATGGTCAATGTGAAATGCAGACCACAAGCACTCCTCGAGAGAACACCGCTGTTTATACATGCAACACATTCCCATGGTGTATAGTTGGAGAAGACGAAGTGTACAAGGCAAGGTGCCTAGTGTATTCAGAGACGACGACCAAGCCGTGGTTAAGTAGGTACACTAAAAAGATTCATCCCCGTGTATGGAAGTTCTATGTGGACACAATCATGTACGCAAGACAACAAATGGAAGACAATGAAATCCAACAACAACAACAAGCCTCTCCTGAATCAGAGGAACCTCCACATATACCAGTGAGGTATCTATTCCCCATTCCCGATGTGGATGATAATGATATAGTTGCTGCATTATGTGAGTTAGAGGAAGAGCAAGAAGAAGAACAAGTGGCTGCAATGTTGGACAACGATGGGAATTTCATAGACCGAGAAGTAGTCATCCCCGAAACACCTGAGAAAGATCAAGGCAGACCTGATCGGTATGATGACCTCCCTGTATATGCTTCACCATCCATTCCAGAGACACCCGTCCAGTCAGACGAAGAGGACTCACCAATAGTCAGGGCTCCAAGGTTAAACGTGCACACCTCAGATGCAGAAGAAGTGACATGGGACTCAGATGATTGGGTCGAGATAGAGAACGCAAAGTACAGATAGACAATTAATTTAATGATAACAGATATATTGTAAAAGACCTTTTATTTGGTAAAACAAAGAATCTGATTATTA